CACAAGGTTGATGTTGCCATTTTCTTTCTGCCCAGGAAACTGAAGCAGAATGGTTTAATAAAGACATTTAAGCTAATGGCTTTCCACTGCTCCTTAGATAAAGGTCAAACACTTTAGCTTCTAAAGCCTGCAGGCCAGAGCTGCACCCTGCCTGCCTTTCTAGCCTCAACTCCTCTTGCCACCATGGTTGCCTATGGGCCAGCCACATTGACCCTTTTATTTGTTTTTTTGTTTGTTTGTTTTATTCCTTCAACTTGGCTTGTTCTCTTTAGCCTCAGTCTTTGCACAGGCTGTTTACTCTGCCAGGGAATTCCCTACCCCTTAGGCCACAGACTACTCTTCAGGAATCGTTCTTCCTTCATATCCCAGACTAAGTCACTCTCTGTCCATCCTATGTCATCATAATGCCATGTACGCTGGGTTCTTCTTTCAGAGCATAGTTGGTGAGTAAATGTGTTTGCAGTTTCTCCCTCACTGGACTGTAAGGTTCATGAACACAGGAGCCCAGAACTGCAGGGCCTGGCACACAGTAGGTGTTTGTTAAATATTTGTTGGGTGAACGAAAGGGGCATCTTAAAAACTCAGAAAAGCAGAAATCTACATTTGTTTTCTAAATCTTGGGTCTGCATTACATCTGAGTTACAGTGTAGTCACTCAGCAAACATTTGTTCATCTGTCCAATGTGCCAGACATTGGTCCAGGCCTAGGGAATTCAGTGGTGAACTTGTAGACCAATGGCTGGTTGGGGAAACATATAATTAATACACAAACAAACAAACAAAAATACTATTAGTGAAGTGTGCTTAGAGTAAGGAGACAGAAAGTGAAACTACTGGGAGGGTTGTTTGGAGACCATCTGTACCCCCTCCCCGCTTTGTCTGGGACAGTCCCAATTGATGTTTGTTGAAGTGATTTGGTTTGGGCAATAGATTATATGGTCACCCTAGTTATAGCTAGAAAAAGACACAGTATCTGGGAGGTTTTTCTAAAGAAGTGATATTTGAGCAGAGGCCAGCAGAAAGAGAAGAAATAAAGTATACCCCCTGTGAAGGTCTGCAGGAAGAGGCAGGAACAGGGAGGAGCTCGGTGAGTTTGGGAACTAGAAGGAAGGCCAGTGTGGCTAGAGCTATGTGATCTTCATGAAGGGGTTTGGAGAGTTTCAAGCTGTGAGCTCTGAAACCAGGAATAGCCAAGAGTCATGGAGTTGTACTGAACCAACTCAACCAGCTCAGAAACTGAAAATACTCACTCACTTATAATAATTTCTTAACAGATTTAGTTAGGTATAATTGATGTACAGTAAATTGCACATATTTATAATGTACAGTTTGATAAGTTTGGTATAAGTATGCTTCCATTAAGCCATCACCCCCAAAGTTTCCTTGTGGTCCTTTGTAATCAGTCCTTTTCTCTTGCTCCTCCTGACACAGCCCCCCAACCCAACCACTGATCTGCCCTCCGTCTCTATAAATCAATTTATAATTTCTAGGAATATATATATATATATATATATGGAATTAAGCAGAGTATTTGGGGGGGGGGCTCTGGCTTCTTTCACTTCATCCGTGATGTAGCATGTATCAATAGTTAGTCCTTTTTATTGCTGAGTAGTATTCCAGTGTACAATGGTGATACCACAGTTTATTCATTCACTCACTGGTGGACTTCTAGATTGTTTCCAGTTTTTAGCTATTACAAATAAAACTACTGTGAATATTCATGTACAAGTCTTTGAATGGGCATATGCTTTCATTTTGTTTGGGAAGTACCTAGGAGTGGAATGGCTGGATCATATAATAGGTATATGTTTAACCTTTTAAAGAAACACCAAACTGTTTTCCAAAGTGGCCCTGTCACTTTAGATTTCCACCAGCAGTGTATAAAAGTTCCATTTCCTCCATATCCTAACCAATACCTGGTATGGTCAGTCTTTGTAACTTGAGCCATTCTAATAAGTGTATGCTGGTATCTCATTGTGGTTTTAATTTCATTTCCCTAATGATTTGATGCGTGTATCTTTTCATGTGCTTATTGGTCATTTGAATATCTTTGGGGAAGTGTCTAAATCTTTAGACCATTTTTCATATTGGGTTGTTTTCTTACTATGTTCCAACAGTCCTTGATCTATTCTGGATGTAAGGCCTTTAATCAGATATATGATTCAAAAATATTTTCTCCCAATCTGTGGCTTGGCTTCTCATTTTCTTAACAATATCTTTTGAAGAGCACAAATTTTTCATTTTGATGATGAATTTATCAGTTTGTTTTTTCACGGATTGTGCTTTTGGCATCATATCCAAGAAATCTTTGCCTGACCTCAAGGTCACAAAGGTTTTCTCCTATATTTTTTTTCTAGAGGTTTTTTAGTGTCTGGTTTTATATTTAGCTCCATGAGCAATTTTGAGTTAATTTTTGTATATGGTGCAAGCATGGATTGAGGTTCCTTTTTTTGCAAATGGATATTTATTGTCTCATCTACATTTATTAAAAAGTTACCCTTGCTCCACTGAATTACTTTGGCACTTCTGTTGAAAATCAGTTGTTCCTATATGTGTGGATCTGTCCCATTGATCTATTTGTTCATCTTGACATCAATACCATACTGTCTGGACACTGTAGCTTTATAATAAGTCTTGAAATAAAGTAGTATTAGTCCTTCAACTTTGTTCTTTTTCAAAGTCCTTTGCATTTCATGAATTTTAGAATCTTCTACAAAAAGATGAGAACTTTTAATAAAAATCTCAACCCTCTATCTTATATCCTTTGAATTTCCATATGAATTTTAGAATCAGTTTTCCAATTTCTACAAAAAGATAAAAACTTGGAATACAAGTGTCAAACTTTTGTGTGAATTTTAATTCTCAAACCATTTTAGAGATCAAAACACATTTTTTTTTGCAGTGATTCCTGGTATGCCGAGTATAGTTGACATGGAAAAAATATATAAAGTCATTAAAAAAATCCAAGGCCCCAAATCTTTAAGAGCTTATGGCCATACATTCCCAAGGGTATGTTTTTTTCAGGAGATGGAGTTATCTTACGGGTTTTTATACTGTTTCTTTTCATTTGGATTTCCTCACAGAAGCCGGGCCTCTGTGTTAACAAGATGCTTCCCATCTTCATTCCTGGGTTTGTGTCTAGGAATGTACTCCGTTTCACTTAACAAAAGTCTGCTTTAGTGTTATTATTTGGTTTTTTTTATCCTCACCGGAGGACATTTTTCCATTCATCTTCAGATCGAGCGGGAGGGAGAGAGGTTGAGAGAGGGAGGAAGAGAGAAAGAAACATCGATGTGAGAGAGACACATCAACTGGTCGCCACCTACAGGACCCCAACCGGGGCCAGGGACAAACTGCAGCAGAGATACGCGCCCATAGCGGGAACCGAACCCAGGTCTCTCTGGTCTGCAGGCCGATGCTCTAACCGCTGAGCAAACTGGCCAGGGCTGCTTTAGTGTTTTTAGCACATCAATTGTGTTTCTCTTTGTTTAGCTTGGGACATTTTAAAGATGTGATGCTATGAACAGAACATCTATTTTATACGAATAGTTAGCCCTTGTAGGTGTCCTTGATAACTTATCCATTTCTCTGCTTCCCTTGCCCAGAACAGACACTTTCTAAATAATACACTTCCATCTGTTACTTTCTATTTGGTGGGTCCTAGGACATAGAGAAGTCAGCTCAGCTTTGTGCAGCTCTAGCAGAACTTTGGAGGTTGTTTATTCCCAGGTTCAGATAGTAACCTTCCTTTTCCCAGTGGGCGATGGCCTGGCAGTGTCATTGTGGCAAAAACAGAGGTGCTGAGCCTGGTGGATGTCAGTTTGTTGTTGTCTCACCGGCTGAATACCTACCTCCCCGGATGTACAGCTCTGAGAGTTAGCTGTGATAAAGCAATGGCACCAGTCATTCACCGAGTGCTTGTTCCGTGTCAGACCCCGTGCTAAGTGCCTCATCTTCATGTCTCCATCCTCATGACTGCTTAATGAGCTGGAGTCTACCACATAACAAGTGCCAAATATATCTTTGCATCCTGATTATGAAATGTGTTTAATTTAATTTTAATGAGAGTTTCCATACATTCACAAAAATAGAATAGGAAAGTGAATCTCCATATATTTATTTCTCAGATTTAGAAATTATCAGGATTTGTCATATTTGCTTCATCTGTCCTTTTTTGGTGTGGGGGGGTGGAAACTGCAGTATTTTAAAGCAAATCTCAGGTATTTTTTTTTTATTTCATTCCGATTGATTTTAGTGTGCCTCTCTGAAACGTGTAAACGTTTTTTGCATGAACCAATGCAATTATCAGACCTAATAGAATTAATACTTCTTTGATATTATCAGATTTCCCCAACTGCCTAGAAAATGTCTTTTTATAGGTGTATGTTCTGATCAGAATGCAAACAAGAGCCTTGGCTGGGTAGCTCAATTGGTTAGAGTGTCATCCTGATAAGCCAAAATTGTGGGGTCCATCTCCCATCAAGGCACATAGAAGAAGCAACCAATGAATGCATAAATAAGTGTAACAACAAATCCATCTCTCTCTCTCTCATTTCTATCTTTCCCTCCCTTCCTCTCTCTCTAAAATCAATAAAATTTAAAAAAAAATTTTCTTTATTGATTTTAGAGAGAGAGGAAGGGAGAGGGAGATAGAAACATTGATGAGAGAGAACATCGACTGGCCGCCTCCTCCATGGCCCCCACTGGGGATCGGGCCCACAACCTGGGCATGTGCCCTGACCAGGTATTGAACCGGCGACCTCTTGGTGCATGGGTCGATGCTCAACCACAGAGCCACACTGGCCAGGCAATAAATAAAAAAATTTTAAACGAATGAAAATCAAGGTCCTCACATGCATTAGGCTTGGTCTTTTTTAATCTAGAGGTGCTTAATGTACATTTGTTGACTTAAATGGCAGGTGTCTTCCACTCCATGCAAAACTCTTTGTCGTTACAATTGTTTCCTTTTAGGAATTAATTGTTTCGTAAGTTCAATAGGATATGTTGAAAATTATGTCAAGGTTACAAAAACTAATTTTGCCCTGTGTATATCCTTGTCTTGGAAAGCCAGGTAAAGAGAAAAAAGGAAAAGTCCTGCGCAAGTCTGCGGGGAAGAAGCAGAAGAAACCGGAGGTGGACATCCTCAGCCCCGCTGCGATGCTGAACCTCTACTACATCGCGCACAACATCGCCGACTGCCTGCAGCTGCGGGGCTTCCGCTGGCCCGGTGCGCCCAAGTCAAAGAAGGGGAAAAACAAGACTTAAGTGATAGTGTTTCCCAGCATCTCCCTCTTATGAGAACAGGACACGGGGAAAAGAAATCAGGATAATACAACCATTGCCAGCAAAATGGACTTGACGGAAGGCAACTTGAGATGCACGCTTTTCTGTGGTAGTTAATGATAAAGAAATGCATTTTACTTCCTCCGTGCAATCCAGGTATGGTTAGCCAGTTTGGTTTTTCTGAAGTTTAAGGGGGAATAGTCTGAGTAATTCCTACACAGTGTGGTGTTATTGGTAGAACTTGAAAAAATTATTAAACCTTGCTCTCAAAAGGCAGTTCTAGCTTGCATGCGTTTTCTCTTGCCAGTGTGGGCTATTTGTTTGTTTATTTGGTATGTGCCCCTAGCCGCTGGGGCTGAGTGGGAACTGAACCCGGGTCTCTCTGGTCCGCAGGCCAACGCTCCAACCGCTGAGCCAAACCGGCCAGGGCTGGGTTTGTTATTTAGAGAAGACACAGCGAAAAGCACAGGATTTGCATATGAACACCCTTCTTTTGCCTTTCCCTGTCTTTTTCAGGAGAAATAATAAATATTTTGTTTTTATAATTTCCTTCTCAGCAGTCTGACTCCTGCCTGATTCTAATTAGCCTCAGTTGCCTGTGGAGACTGAGAGCGTCATCCCCGCTCTGACCTTGTTAGGGCATCGTTCAGTGGCTGGGGTGCAGGGGGAACGGAGCAAATCAGCCTCACCCCCTGTTACGTCTCACCACACTCTTCTTTCTCTTTTTCTGCACACTTACATCTTACCCCACCTGGAGGCTTTCTTTTCAACTTGGCTGACCCCGAGGTATGGACTTGGTGCCAGGAATGTGCCACAGTCATTCTGTTATCAAGGATCCCCCTAGCCTGGGCGGAGATAAAGCAGCAGTTCTTTTTCCTGGGCCCCCAAAATCTTAAAGCCCCAAATGTGAAACTAGGAACGAAAAGCATTGTGAAGTGTAAGTGCTGTCTCTGAGCCACCCAGCATTCCACCCATGCCTCCTGCCCTGTCTCCCTGGGGTGTCTTGCCTCCCCCAAAGCTGACATCTGCACTGTTGTCTCCATTCGCAGCTCTGGTTCCTCAAGGCAGCACCTGTCCAGGGATGATCTAGTGTTGGAATTACTTAAACCGATGCCACAGGTTGCTTGGTGAGGATCCCAAAGATTCGGTAGCTGGCTGGCTAAAGGAGACTGCAACCAGGACTCAGGATCTCTTAAGTAGCAAAGAAGAAAGGAAATCACATGAATATTTGTACTAGAGAAGTGGGGTGCTCTTAACCCACATGAGTTTATTGGGGATGACATTTGTGCAGCTGTGCTGTCTGTGCAGATTCAGGGTGAGCCCTTGGCTAGTTGCCAGGGAAGCCCTCACTCCAATAAAGGTTGGTGCGCCTCTTCACCTGATGGGGGGCCCTTCCTGCTCTCTGCACACAAGCTTTGGAAACGGGGAGCACCTTCCCACACTGCTAGAGACTGCTGGGTTGGATCTAGTGGTTTCTGTTCATGAACATGCCAACTAGTTCAGTCCTTGTCAGTGTTTATTGTGCCTCACAGTCACCTGGGGGACTTGTCAAAGCTTACATTACTGGGCCCCACCCAGCAGGAAGGTTCGAGAATTTGCATTTTCACTAAACTGCTAGGTTAAGCTGTTTTGCTGGACCACACACTTGGAGAAGCACGGCTCTAGTTCCTTCTGCCTAACCAGATGCTCACAGGCTTCCCGAGTCTTTGAACTTGTAGGATGTCTAATGTCCTCTCTGCCTTGCTTGGGTTCAGGAGCTCATATCTGTGCAGTTATGTCTATTGGAATGCTGGCAAGGTGCCCTCGCAGGGTTTCCGTCTGGTCTCGCCGGCCAGAGAGAACGTTATTTGGGGCACAATGGAGACATGCAGTCAGCAGACATGTACAAGCTAAGATCATCTGGAAGTGGACATGCGTTCCTCTTTTGAGATGTTTACATGATGAGCAGAAAGGATTATAAGCGTTGGAAGAGAGGGAGTCCTAATCTGATTGGATGGGGCACTGTGTACTCAGGGTTTACACCAGTTTTGGCAAAGTAGCTGAAGCCTTTTTGGTATTGTGCTCACTGGTGCCCTGGGGTTCTGGGAGAAGCCACTAGGCATGGAGAAGCAAGTAGCTATGCATTATTAGAGAAATTAAATTTTTGGTGAAACTCTACGTTTAAGAAACATCAATGAGACAGAACATCGATTGTCTGCCTCCTGCATGCCCCCACTGGGGATTTGCACCACAACCTGGGCATGTGTCCCCATTGGGAATCGAACCAGCAACCTCTTGGTGCATTGGTTGACGCTCAACCACTGAGCCAAACCGGCTGGATGCAAATTTACCTCATTTAACACATTTATTTAGCATTTACTCTGCTTGGCACTAGAAAAATAAGACAGGGCTTCTACTGTCAGGTGCCCGGGCCTGGGCAGGCGGCTGATGCACGGCTGCCAGCATGACCGAGGGCAGTTGGTCTCCATTCCAACGTCACACAGCTTGTGCAGGTGATTGAAGAGGCCTGAGCAGGACCGTCTGGAGGGCATCTGATGATAAAATGATCCTTGAACTTTGCTGTTACTATTTCCCCTCAACCCAAGAGCGTATCTTCCTGCGGCTGAGGAGTCAGCGGGAGCCTGTGAGGAGTGAGGCCTGCTGGGAGGGCGCACCGAGGGGGAAGGTGGGAGGGGGAGGGAAGGTGACTACAATAGGCAACATGTCCACTGAGGAGGAAGAAACATTTGGCAGTAGCATGTGAATAGTGGACGTTTTTTAGACTGGAAGTGACATATCATCCAAAAGAGAAGCAATAGCAAGTGTTGCCAAGGACGCAGAGAATGTGCGACCCCCGTGGGTTCCGGTAGGAATGTAAAATGACGCAGCCGCTGTGGAAAAGCTTGGCAGGGCCTCAGAATGTTCTAAGGAGAGTTACTGTCTACCCAGCAATTCCGCCTCTAGGTGTGTGCCCAAGGTATACCTAGGACGTACACTGTGCTAGGTGCATCCACTCAGCCAGCTGCAAGGCCACGTCTTTTATAATTTCATTCACATTGAATGTCCCAAATACGCAAGTCCATGGACACAGAAAGTAAATTAGTGGTTGCCAGGGCTGGGGCAGGAGGAAATAGAAAGTGGCTAATGGGTAGGAAGGGGTTCCTCTGTGGGGTGGTCAAAGTGTTATGGAATCAGGCAGTGGTGATGGTTACACAACCTTGGGAATATACTAAAACCACTGAACTATGCACTTTGACAGAGCGAATTTTATGGTATGTGAGTTATATCTCGATTTAATAAGCTGATGAGAGGTAGCAAAGGTACCCCATGATTGGGAGATAAAGGAGGTGAGGGCCAGTGCCCCAAAAAAGATGAGGCAGAGGGATCAGGTCCTGGGCAAACCCCTACAGCCGGCTGCCTGGGGCAGGTAAATTAGGAGCTGCAACCAAAGTGGGGGCTTCACACCCAGGCGTCCACCCTCCTGCAGGGGAAGAGCTGCAGCATCTGGCTGAAGTTCCAGCCACCATCACCCTTTACCCACCCTCCCTGGACCTCAGCTTCAGAAGGTGACTTGATCTCCCCGTGTCCCTATGCACACGTTTTTGATTTGGAGTCTGGTCCCTCTTCTGCAAGGACACAGGAAGAGTTCAAAACAGAACCAATTTCTCACTGAAGCCTCCTCTCTGTAGAAGATTCTTCCTTTGTCCTTTCCCCCGGCCCTGCAAAGTTCACAAGGAACATTTCATCATAGTGACCATCCCTGATCATGCACCTTCAAGCCTCCAGCCTGGAGCTGACCACCAAGACTTAAGCCAGAGACTGTGCTCAGCATGCAGGCTCCCTCTGCGAGCACAGACGGTGACACAAAGCTGTCGCCAGGCCTCCACCGCCCCAGGGAGTGTGAGGCCATAACCAAGAAAGCCAAGAGAAACAAGTCAGTGGAACTTAAAGAGCTGAGAGCTGAATATCTTCATTTTATTTTACACTTGAAAATGTACTTATTATAAATATTTCCAAACTCACAAGAGTAGAAAGGAGTGCAACAAACCCCAGCTCCAACACCTTCTCACATTTAGCCTTGTTCATCTCCACCCCCCATATTTATTTAGCATTTTAAAGCAAATCACGTATGTGCCATTTTCTCTCTGAACACTTCCGTATCCTTGACATTCCAAACAGGTAATTTTACATTCGAGCTCTCACTTCAGGTGAGATCTGGCTGTAATTTGAGTCACTCCGCAGCCGTTTGTTAAATGCCCCTGTGCCAGAGGGGACAAAGTTTTCCGTCCTTGCTCCACACCCCTCTGCCACCTCCAAACACCCGAGGTGCCCTCAGTCCTGAGAAGTGAAGGCAGGGCCCTGCCGCTCCATTCCGCTCCCCTTCTAGTCCTCTCCTCTTTTTCGTTTCTTTCCTTTTTGTCATATTTTCTGAATACACAATCAAGCCTTTCTCTAAGTCATCCCAAATCCCTTGTTAGAATTTAACTAAAACTTTTCTCAAGTCGCCAGTGACTTCCTGGTTCCCAGGATAGTGACCTTTTCTCCATCCTTGTTTGAATTCTTTGTTTCCAGCCCCTCCATCTGGAGCACAGGGCCCTCAATCCCAGTCCTTCTCCAACTCCTCCCACCCTCTTCCCTTCACAGGGAAATCTGAGGCTCTCAGGATCCAACAGGTCCCCTCAACTTTCCACCCCGTCCATCCTCACGTGGTCCTCAGGGAAGACTGCGCATTTCAGACTCACTGACTTCCTCTGGTGTCCGTAGTTCTTCCCTCTCATTTCAGGGCATAGAGTCTACTTCATTAATTGTCCCTTTAATTGTGTACCCAAGGAACACTCGGGAAAAGCAAACATCAAAGGTCAGTTAGAGTATATACCCCAATGAACCCATCTGGAGAGAAGCTCTGATATCTTGACATATTTGTTGTATTCTTGGGCTTTTTCTACATGACGATATGAATACATCCCCATATATGGGAGTGTGAATCTTTGTTCTAAGGCAAA